GTTATTTCGGTTTCTTTATTATTTAGCCTATTAATTTATTTTTCATCTGCCGCTGGTGAAAAATCCAACAAATCCTTCATGAGAATAAAATCAGGGATAATAGAATACTTCACTGATTTGGCGTTTTAAGAGTCCCTAGACAATAAATCATGTAGCACTACTAAAATTCTAAAAACATACCTAACTCTAGGATATTAGCATTGATAACACTAGTGTTATATAGTGTAGTGTTATATAGTCAATGATATTAGATATTAAATGATATTAAATGCCTTTGCGTAATTCTTTATATTCAAAGTTTTATTTTTATACATTTGACAAACTCCTTCTAGGACAATCTATTACAATAACCTTTTTTTAGATGACTGAAATAGTTTAACAAAACAATGCTAATGCTCTTTGAAATTTTGATCTTCTTCGCACCTAATACCCAATTTGTATTATATCTACAAAGCACTCATACCGTTTGTTTAAACTTCTCTGTTCTTTATAATATTCCCAATTCGAACGGTTAGTTTTATTTCTAAGGATTCCAAAGCCAATACTTATCACGGTCACTGACCTATCAGTTGTTAATGACCATGTTAATTTCTTTCCTCCAAAGATAATGTAGAAAATATGTAAAAATTGATGACCACACAAAATGGCAATTACGCCATATCGTAAGTATCACGGGAATACCAAAACTTTACCCCTAACAAACCTTCTTGCCTAGAAATAAACGCATAGTAATAATAATAAGCAATAATAACACCAGCACGGTGTGAATATAAACAAATACGCAAAAACCTTCAACTAACTATTTTATAAACAAACTGGTGAACAAACTGGTGGTGGTGATCCCTGTGTTTTACTTCAGAAAGAGGACACAAAAAGGAATAATGTGATTATTGGACTAATCCAATGTCGAAAGGAATTACATACCATACACATCCAACATTAAAGATTTAATAAAAACCAATTGTGTACCTTAGTAACATTAAAATTTGTTATAACAAGTTCTATCAGCACTAAACCACAGTGTTGATATCCTTCATAATTAACACTGTCCCAAAATAGAATATGGGAAGGAAACAAGGCTCAAGATATTTCAGTTAATTGGGCTGCCTGGGGCATCGTGACTATGTTATATTTCTGAGATAGTCTACATTTACTTCCAATGGATACCAGAGATGGTTAAAGAGTGAAAATTTAAAAACGTACGTTTTCAGGAAAAGCACTTTGCAAATTTTTTACCCCTTTTTTTCAAAACTTTTATTTTTTTATTTTATTAACATTTCAAGTTTCATAAAATGTCCATGGTAACGCAATATCTTTGGTAGTTTTCTTTTTAAAGAGCATCTTTAGTAGAAAAACACAAAATCCTGTCACGACCATAACGGACGTTTAAATGAATATTAAAAATAGTTAATATTATTTTTATAACTATGTTTTGCTATAAACTAATTTACTTTTATGACCATTATACAATAAAAAGGTCACTGAGCTTTTGGTATATTTGGTCTTTCTAGAAAAAAATATAAAAAACTCAAAAAACAGAAAAAAGCCAATAAAATCTTTTTAAGTTTGTATAACTCCGAAAAAACTTACCTGAGACCCGAAAAATCGTTATGTTTGTATAGAGGTGTGCTTCTTTTGTGTATAAAACATTGAAATTTGACGACATTTTAATTTTTGAAATTTTTCTGATAGAAATCATAAACGTGATGGTCAGGGACAAGCGGTACGGTCGTGAATTCTCTGGAATAATCAAAATCTTTCTAAACAATCCTTCAATTAGACTGTTAGTTATAATAAAACTATGTGTTTCAATTGAACTAAACTGCTCAATTTACAATTATATTAAAGTTATTGTCACGACCAAACACACTATAATCCATAAGGCTGGATTGGTCGTGAAAAAACCCGCGATGGTCGTGAAACTTTGGTCGTGAAATTACGTGTTATTTGGCTCTGTTCTGGCGGTTGCCCTGCACCTCATGTTCGAGGATACAAAGTGGACTTCTAGGTTAATCTAGCAATTGAAATGTCTTATAAACAAAAATTAACACCATGTCTACTTCATCGAATGACTACGTACGGTCATGGACACACCAAAATTACAAAAAACACAATCTTTCCTTTATTAATCTTGTAATTCCTCCTTTCAACTCAAAACGACCGGCACTACAATCCTGACGTACACCCCGAACTAGTCTCTAAAACCAACTGACTCCATCGACGCTAGGCTTGCCACTGTCGTGCTCCAAAGTTGAAAATTTTTCCCAAATGGTCGTGACGCCAAATCCAGGGACAGACTTATTTTGTCATGGTAGTCAGTCTGCAATGACAATAAAATTATAATATGCTCCTTTTTTGTAAGTTTAATAACCATTGATGACATAAAAATATGGCTTTATATATTTCGGCATGAATAATTAGTCTAAAAACAGCGTGAAAGTTGGAAAATGTACCCTAGGGACACGTCATGGTCGTGAATTTCGATACTTTAAAAATACGAAAAAATTCCCAAAAACCTATTTAAAACCAAATAAATGTGTGTAACATGTTGCCCCCGTCCCAAAAAATATTAAAACACATAATAATAAACTACAAATCCAGTATCTACGAAGTTAAAGGCCAGGGACATGAAAACGTACGTTTTTAAATTTTCACTCTAAAGCAGTTTCAAAACGTTTATAGCACCTAATTTTTATTTTTCCTAGACGTTTTGCTTCATTTTCCACTCTGCATTGACTATATAAAATTTATTGACAGTTAAAAGTGGAGACAGTAGTTACGTTGTGGCATGGGAACTGGATAGCTCAATATTTAACGTCCTCGTCATTTGAGCCACTGAATATTTTCAACAAAAATTTATATGACAGGTTTGAAATAGTTAATTAAAGGCTAATTAAGTAGTCATTAACACTCAGGTATCAGTTTATAGCCGGGAGAAGAGAACTGTTTGGTTGAAAGCATATACTGTAGACGTAAACAGCTGATCTTAGTCGGTAACAAAGCTACAGAGAACATCATACTCCATTCTTCAGTCATATTTGGGTTTACGGAACAATGTGAGGTGCATAACGGTACCGTACAGTAAACTAAAATTAGTCTGTCGCCAATTTTCATGCCATGCACGTGCTTTAAAGTTAAAGTTAAATTTTGTTAAAGGTTAATTAAGTTAAAGTTTTGTGTTGTCGTGTTTTGTATATGTAATACTAATTTAACCGTTGACGCAATGCAAATAAAGACATTTTGTGTTGAATATGAAAACAATCATTATTAGTTTAATTTACCACTACGCACTCGACGATGGAATTACAGTTTCTCTGAAACGATGTACACGTACATTGTAGTGTATTACATCTAGTCTTGATTGCGAAGACAGTAAGAAACACAGAGCAGAGGATAAAAACTAAGCTCTGCGCTGTGGTAAGAAATAATATATCTAATGTATTCTATTTACACACAATTTACCACAATCAAGAATCAACTTTTAAAAGCATTTAGTTTTAGTAAACATTGGCATACTTATTTCTTTAATTAATGTATTTTTAATAAGAGGCGCTCTTTACTATTTAAATTCCTACAACAATCAACCTCTTTCTCATAGAAAATCCGCTACAACAATAATGAACCTATTCCACGGTTTGCATGTTAAAGCAATTGGTTCACCAGGATGGAAACAATAGATTCTTAGAAAACTTCCAATTAGAAAGAATCAGTTCATTATATCTCGTCTTCAAAGGAATTTTCCACTTGTTGTTTTTAATTTTAAATGATGGTATTCCTATCACTGACTCGAGTTATATAATTAAATCAAACTATTTTAGTGTGCCTAGGTTTCCCTTGACAATTGTGTATAGACTAATGATTGTGAACAATTTAAATGGCACAAACATTTTCCTACCAATTCAAACAAATAAGTTAGAACTCGTTTCCAACTACTTTGATTTTTTCAGACACTACAGTAGTTTAAGTTGAGGTATATTTAAGGATTTAATGGCTTGAATTCGTTCCTGGAGAATTCAATGGTGAATAATCTAATTAGCGAGAACAAATGTTTAACACCAAAGGAACATTAAAACATTGCCTCATTTTTTTGCAAATTATGTCATGGGCTAGTAGGCCAGTTTTAGATAGCTATTAATTTATTAGAAAATATTAACATTTTATTAATTAAGAAAATATTCATGTAAAAATCTAGGTACCAGTGGTTAATAGTCAATTCCAAACTCACTTACTGTCGTGGTAAAAGTTTAGACACCCATGTTTCGAGTTCTAGAGAAAAGTACCAAAAAGTAAATAAACATCTTAGAAAAAGATGGAGCACCGTATATTGACATTTTAATTCTTCATTTCCTATACAAATAAATAAATTTAGCTTGTTTATAAAATGTTGTATGCCACCTGGAAGGTTTTTATACAAACCCCTTTATCTTTAGAATTTCAAAATCCATATTATCGCTTTGAAAAAAAAAATCACACAATAATGTACATCAAACATCAGAATGAATAATCCAATACCTTCAGAAGAGGCTTTTTAAATTTTTTTCTAACGATTGCCTTTCAACAAGGGGCTTACCTTCAAACTGTCTTTTCATAAAAAATTGTACAAACGAGCTAAAGAATGATTATTTTATAGGAATAAGTAGAATAAAACAAAAGTGTTCAAAAATGGTCACTTGTACTACAGTCAAGTATTATAGCCAATTACTGAACTCCCATCTCTCTACAGTGAATAAAGTAAACTTAGTATAGTAAAAATACAGAAATTGGGAAGTAAAAATGATACAATCCTTCACAATAATTGCTCCTACTGGGCGTTGGGAATTCCAAAAGCCCAAAAGCAAGTATAGTATCATAGTAAATCCACTATTAACCGGTTATAGAAAACAAAATAACAGGTGGCGGTCCTACACAGTTACATGTGCAAGACAAGGATGACCACCTGGTGACCTTGAACAGAACTAAAGTCAAACTCTAAGGACAAGTCTCAGTTTGGTTAACCTGCCGACTGCAGAATGCCATGGACATAGTCCTCCTGTTGTGTTTACTATTGGTGTCTGTGCCTTGTTTTGAAGCACTGGATTTAGGTGAGGCAAGTTTACTTTACTTTAAAAGTATTATTGAACTCTTTTATCAAAATAGAAGAACAGTTTTAAACATAAATAATGCTACTAATCAAGGGATTTCACAGTACTGTACTTACTCCTAATTTTAATACAGTATAGCAAGTAAATGTTTAGGATCAACAGTTTTTCAAATGGTATGGTGAATATTAAAATAAATAGAAATAAGCCTACGTAACTTATAACCATGCCAGTGGTATGTAAACACTTTATTCTCAGGATTTTTATGTTTTTGCCAATTTAAAATTAACCTTTTGGGTAAACAACCTAACTAATGTGTGTATCTGAGTTAAATTGTTTACAAAATGTAGTACTCGCTAGAAATTATGTTCTACAGCCATACATTTTAATTCATCAAAAATTATTATACCTCTAAACTAATAATGTGCCTGATCTTTTTAATAATAGGTTGAAACTTTAATGAAACATCTAGCTTGCAAAGATGGACATCCACTTAAAACCTTCCAATCACAGTTTTTTATCCAGCCATCAAATAAGTTTAGTAAAGCTATACTTAAATACTTTTCAATGAAATGGCGACGATTAACTATAGGTTGAAACTTAATAATATCCTATAACTTTAATATCCTTTTATATATTTATCAACTTAGATTAGCTGAAAATAACTTTCAGTTTACAAACCACAAGGTATTAACTTTCATGGGCATCCGCAGGATTTAGAAAGAGGGGTGCAAATAGTGCAATAGATAACAGAAATCATTTCAAAATTGTGTTTTAAAACAAATCTTTGTAATGACCATCATGTATTGTACTTTTATAAATTTCTAAATAAATTAAAGGAATTAGAGAACATTGTAGCAATTACATTTACTTCCTAATTTGTTTAGCCAGGGGGATACAAGTGCACCTCATGCACCCCTCTGTGGGCGACCATGCTAATGCTAACTTTAAGATATGCTTACTGTTTATACTTACTATCTTGAACTTTGAAATGTTTTCTTAATTTTATCATAACTTAATTGCCTATTTGTAAACAATACCATTGCTTGCCCTCCAGTATTTTAATCAAGGAGTAAAGGTCCATCCTTACTTTAAAATAATTGAGAAATATTTAGTTGATGTCAACTCCCTCTAATGGTTGCCAGACATTATACACAGCAAAACAGGTTTCAGAGTTTTGAAGAAGCGGAAGTATACATGATCCAATATATAGATAGGTACCCCCAAATCAAGTGTAGTTTTGACTTTTAAACACTCAAACTGTCACTATCAAAACAACAAACAATTTTTTTTTCTCTTTTTCTTCCAGGTGCTGACTGTTTGACTGCAGATGGGAGCATTGGTCACTGTGTAGAATCATCAAAATGTATGAACTCTTATCACCAAGAAAACACCGTGTTGTGCAGATACTCCAGAGGCTACGGCACTCAGGTCTGCTGCCCTCGTACTGATATCTGGCTGCATCGTAAAGACTCCTTTCACGACGATGGTCCCATAGCCTTCCCCGAGGAGTCATACAGTCCTCATTCTCACAATCAAAAGATAACAAACAGCTATGCTTACAACCCTTCATTGGGTGAAAACATAGGTTACAGACCTCAGAACAGCAGACCATCCAACTACAAACCACAATACCATGAAAAACCGAGTTACACTCAATCAAATTACAATGAGAGACCCCAATATGGAGGTAGACCGACAAACTTTGAAGAGAGGCCAAACTACTCCAGTGGTTATGGTGGATACGAGGAGAGACCTTCCTATGTCAGTGGTTCTGGTAGTTATAACTCTCCCAGCCACTCTGGTGGGTCAAGCTACGAAGGCAGACCCGTTCACTCTGGTACTGGCAGTGGATATAACGGAAGACCGGACTACTCAGGCGGCTCAATAGTTTACCAGGAGAACCCAGACTACCCCAGTTACAATGAGAGACCGAACTATTCTTCTGGATCTCAAGGAATTGGAGGTTCTTCAAGAAGACCAGACAGCTATCGGCCTAGACCAGGATCACACATTAACACAAGAGAGACCACAACTTCATGGGAGTATCCGTCTGACAGACGAACGACCCCTCAACCCAGCTGGGCTATTGAAGATAACAACAACGGTGGCAGCAGCTCTAGCTCCAGGGGAAGGATCAGTGAACAAAGTAAGTGAACACTAGTAGACATACTATGGAGTACCTACCCAAACAGTCCAGCCATACCACTACATTCATGCAAATTGAGTTTATTTGATTTGATGAGGACTTTCATTAATTCAGGCAACTAGGATCTACAAATAATTTTGATTAATGAGTGAGTACTTTACTTCAAAGCCGTATTCATTTTTTACTTTACTTGCTCAAAATCATAACTTGCCTTGTTTCAACTAGTAACACACAGCACTGTGTCTAGAACCTAGTGCTAATCTTGTTGAATGGAGAGTCACAGACATAGTTGGTAGAGTGACAGACTGTAATACTTAGGAAGCAACTGTTGGGTTTGTATCTTGATGCCGCCACAAATCATCCATAAGTACACTTTACCATCTATGCACAGACATTAGAGAGCTATGTGGATAGTCAATTTGAAGTTTGAAAAGGTCACCAACATCTTAAAAAAGTAATAATCACCTATTGTGATATTTCAGAGTGTGAAGAGTACAGCCGCCCAGTGTCTCAGACCATCAATGCTTTGCCTCTGTCCATCAACGCAGAGGCTGTACCTCTACGAGTGCAGAACTGTGACTTCTCAGCTGTCAAACTGATTGTCGGAGGGGAAGCATCTGAACTCGGTGAATTCCCTCACATGGTAAGTTAATTTATAGTTTTTGTCTACCCTATTATAAACATGAGGTCATTAAATTATGCAAAAACCACTTAAGGAGTCAATAATTTTGCATTGTTGTTGACCATCAGATGCCAGGCTAAACAGTGGTTGTCCGAGCGCCGATCAGCAAAACATGCGTTCACGTTGAAGCTTAATCATATACCGTAAGCTTGATTACCGAGCAGAAAATTGTATGTGTACTTTTCGTGTGAATTGCTTTTTGAATTTTTAAAACTTTTGTTTTAAAGGTTGACAAAAATCACAGTTTAAGTCAATAGGTACCTATATTTATATAATTTATGTAGTTTGACAAAAATAATAACAATTAAAAACCATGGGTGTGTTGCTGTTTTGAAATACTGACTTTAAGCTTTGCTTTATGCTTCCTTTTGGAGTGGGGCGTTTGGAGGTAATTGTTAAATGTTGTCCCTACCAAATAAAATACTGTAAATACCACAATGTTTGTGTTTGCAAAGAAGTAAGAATTTTACATGTATTTAGTCTATTTCATAATTATTTCAGACACAAGCAACTCGTCTAGTAAAAAGTTAGTAAAACTTCTGACTTCTCCGTCTCATTTTCACAAACAAATTCATGAGCCCAATGTCAAGTACCAACAGTAACTTGACCATTAAACACTGTCCACACTATTTACAAATCAAAATTTAAGTTACAAAAATGCTGTAAATAGTGAACAAAAAATGCATAATGTTAATAGACCCTAACAAGCTATAAAGCAAAAAATCATAAGATAGCTTATTTAAGCCCATTGAAACGCTGAGGAGAATCAGCCAGTCTTTAATTAACAAATCTCTTGTCAACCATTCATGACAATAATTATGAATAATTTTATTCTCAAAACTAATGTTAACGAGTGGTAAATGTATGTATTATTTTATTTGAACAGTGTCCGATTGTGTGTTAAGGCTGCAGTGGGCTTCAAAGTTCGGACTTCTCGGGACATTCTGTGGAACTGTGGAGGAACTCTCATCAGTAAAAGATACGTCTTGACTGCTGGACACTGCACCAACACTTCTTTGTATGTATCCATCTATACATCTGTAATGGGTCCTCTCGTATAGAACTTTACACAAGTTACAATAGTTCATGACTATGATGATTCATGTAGACTGATCTCATAAAGACTATTGACACTGTAGTCATAATATGTTGAATTCAATTGTATGTGACTGTTGAGCAAATAAAACTCGAAGGGGGAAAGTATGACCCGGATTAGGGAACATATATGTAGGGACTAATCAACAACAAATAAGGTGAATAACACATGATTGGTAAAGATAAAGAACTTATATTTTATCAATGTCTTTAGCCCCATTGTCAACAGCTCAAACTTATTTGCAACACTTCAGCATGCAAATGCTGTTTTCAGCCTAAAGCAAAATTTTGATAGCAAAACATCAATGTCGTAAAGTACTTGAAGAAATCCTTTTTTAAGCATTTAAATTAAAAACTTTTTACTTCAAGTAGAGCTCTGAAAAATATGCTGTTTCAAAGAGTCATGTTTAGTGGGTATATTGAAGAGTAAATTATTGATTGGATTTTGGTTGGGATAGTAGACTTACATAAATTAGAAAGAGTCCACGCTAGTACAATAACACCAAAACTATACTAGACAAAAATTATGAGAGGTATTTCAATTTCACTGTCGCTGAGAGCATTTAAAAACAAGAATAGTTGGAACCAAAGATCTTTTGTTTGAGTTAGGAAGAAATAGTGCTAAGCTAAGTAAAATCACCTCAGTCATTTCCACCCTTTATTAAAAATTCTTAGAGAGTCACAGAGAAATATTCTAATTTGTTTGAAAAAAAATTCTATTAACTTGTACCAGGATAAACTGATGCCCACAAAGATAAAATCATTCAACAAAATCATTCAAACCTAGACTATTGTACTGTATGTTACCATAGACTAACCAACAAAGCAGACTTCTCATCCCATTGTAAATTTTGAAGCACGTTTTTCGTGTCTAGTTCATGTACGTGACACATGGGCGCTAGTGTCAACGAAACTTTGTTTCTATTATTTTAGGGCTAATTTCTTGATTTGTGCTTTACTGTTTGGTTATATAACTAGGGGACAAGTTATTGTTTATGATTAGATCGTATTATTTGGTTAAACGAGGTTTTAAATGGCTGTAATAACGGGAAACAAATTGTAAACAAAACACGACCTCTACATAAACCGTACAGAACTAACAATAAAATTGTCTTCAGCTGTTCCATAAGGATGAGAAATCTACTAAGGGAGTATGTTTTTATCTATGATGTTACATAATCAAACCATTGATTATAATGACATTATACACTGTACAGTGGCAATCCTGTTACGGTGAGGCTAGGGGAGTACAACATAAAGAGAGACAACGACGGAGCTGACCCTCAAGACTACGGAGTCCAGCAAGTGATCGTTCATCCTAACTACTTCAAGACTCTCAAGTACAATGATATTGCTTTGCTGAAACTGGACAGGGAAGTGACATTCAACAAGAACATCAGACCTGCTTGCTTGCCCACTGACAACAACATAAGAGGGAGGCCTATAGCCACTGGCTGGGGCCGCACTGACTACGGTAACTAACAACCTTCTTTCGGTTAAGGTGATTTAGAAAAGTTTGGTTCGGCAAACACTTGGACAATCTAAATGGTAAAATGTATTATAGTGGAAATCCAGCCAGGTAAATGGAAATTTGCTTAGTCTGCAGGTTTGCTGCGGTGGGAGTGTTAAGCTTTGCGAAAATAAATAATAACTAAAGGAAACCTCTATTAAACTATAAAATCTTAACTACAAATTACTGTAGTAAAACTTCTTTTAAAAAAAGCAACAAATATTTTACAAAAAAAAAAACATAAACTACAGTATTTAATTACTTTCTATTAAATGTGTTATATTTTATATTGTTTCAGTGGGGAGGCAGAGCGATATACTGATGAAGGTACCTCTGAACGTGATTGACAACCGCCAATGCAACAACTACTACAACACCAACAACCCAGGGTCGTCAAGCTTTGGCTCTGGAATTGTAGACACCATGTTGTGTGCCGGATATGTGGAGGGTGGCCGAGACACTTGTCTGGTGAGAAACATCACTGCACATACATGATTGTCCTCATATCTATATATATAATACGTGAAGCCGTTTTTTGTTAACGCAACTCCTCCCTTATTTGTAGACCAATTTTAACGTTTAAGGTGTCAAAAGTTTCGTCTCAATATGTAGTTTTGTAATAAGTTTTAGAATTTTAAAATTCCTATTCTGAAGGGCGTGAGACCCTCTCAAAGGTCGGATTTTCTCCATAAGAAATACATAGGAGAAATTTAAAAGCCAAAAACAGCTGTTTGTAAAAAAAACTGCTTTTTGGGAGTAAATATTAATGTTTGTAATATTTATTCAGAAGGTTAAGACCAAGTTAAACCGGTAATCAGTTTTGTAGGAAGAACAGAAAATGCCTCAAGTTCAAAGAAGAAATATTGAAAACGTAAGTAGGAGACAATTAATAATAAGATATCTTATGCGTATGAGGAGAGTAGAAATAGAGTGGCCTGGTCTAACAGACACCCATCCAGATACACATTCACTTGGTAATATGAACAATATTTGCCAGTCCTGCTATACATCGACGGTTCTGCTATGCAACTCACTTTGGAAGTGAAAAAATGTACGAAGCACATAGTGTTGTCACGGTGGTAAAGTAAACTTGCCTAATGTCAGATCAAATGAATGCATGCAAGAAATGTTTACTTCTGACACTGACAAAACTAGATATTTCAAAACATTCAGTATAAACTATATTTAATGCCTTGACTATGATGAGTTCAAGTAGTAAGATTATACCAAATCTTGGCAGACCTTATATTTTTATTGTAAACTTATGTGTTACTCGCTCTACTTCAATTGAGAAAAAACGCAAATGGATTGTTTACTTCTAGGTTATTTTTCCAGTTCCTCGGGAAAACTTATACAAGGTCTATTGACTGAATTTACCAACACAATCCATACATTTCAAGTCAAAAATAAGAAGTTTCAACAACTAATTTGCTATTGAAAGTTTTAGTGGCAATATTAGACCAAACATATAAGTGAAGGAATTAGCATTTATGTATTCAACGATCGGGTTGTTACGGCCAAGTTTATGTTTATGATTTAGGAAAGACAAATAATATACGCTGTTCAAAAAGAGAATACGAAAATTGCTATCCAAATCGTATAGCTACAAGCATAGATGAAGAGTTATCTAACCTATTTCGACAAATGAATCGATACTTTCAAAACGTTGGGACAGGTATTTAGAGAAACTCCACTGAAAAACGTGAGACTGACAGACAACACGTTAAAATACGTTAACCAACTTTCAATGGTGTTGCTGCTTTAGCCTATTCAAAGCAGATTATGCCACTTAAGTTGGCAAAAAATGGAGCACATGAAATGTTTGATATCACCTAACTTTTCAGGGTTCTCCACGAAGAAAATTCGTTTGATTAGGGGGATGTCTCAAATCAAAGAAATAAAATGATCCAACTTAAATTACTAAACACAGGTAGTAGGCCTAAGGCAACAGTTTTCTTCAATTCTCAAAGCTGGAAAAACTTTGTTGCAACATGTTAACTCGAATTGAAGCAGATCGTTTAACATTCATTAGAAGTTATCAATTGCAACTGAGAGCAGAAATAATGTAGGTGAACCTTGACGACGCAAACAGAGATATTTAAAATTAGTTACTAACAAGTGTTTAAACAACTCTAAGATGTAGCTACAATTGCTCGAATTTAAGCATAAAGTTTTCCTAAGCGTTATGTTTCATACTATGCGGCTCATTGAGCCGCACGGGTTCTCTAGTTCTGAATAATACACTACATAAGATATTGCTAGACAAATACCAAAGAGGAAGGGAAGTTTATCTTGGGTATTTGGTAATCACCACTCTCATTACAATAGCCATACTACAATCTATTGAGAGACATGTAACAAAAATTAAAGCATAGATGACATTCACCATCATATCCCAATATTTGATAAGTGTAGTGTTGGTAGAGTGTTTCAATATTTTTTATGTCCCGCATTCTAGTCCAAAGTCACGACATCACAAGTCAGTGTACCGGTCCACAAACGCTAGTCATTTTTTGTTTAGACCGGCCAAAAGTATTAATTCTTAATGTCTCGTGTAAATAGAAATGTTTCGTGTGTATACATATGGAATTCAACGATGACCAATGCTTTAACAGTAATTAACAAGACAGAAGATTTGACAATGGGGCTGTTTTCCCCGAAACTATAGTCATCTAAAAAGACGTAAATAAGGTATTTAACCTTTTATTATCAAACCACTTTATCAAACCTCTTTATCAAACCAGGAGGCAAAACATGGATAAATTATTATATTGTATTGTTACATTTTTCAGGGCGATTCTGGAGGACCACTTACAACAACCAAGAGGGAGAACCCGTGCATTCATTATGTTGTCGGCATTACATCATTTGGAAAGATTTGTGCAGCGCCTAAATCACCAGGAGTGTACACGCGAGTCGTAAAATATCTCGACTGGATAGAGAGGGTAGTCTGGCCATGAGCTCAGCTATTAAACACCTTCTACATTAAATTATCTTATTATTGTAGTAGAGAATTAAGACATTTTTTATACTTTAACTTTTAATTAAATAGTATGGTGTCAACCATTGTGACTAGTATACAATCAAATACTTAATATTTTATGTTTTAGTTTTAAGTTTGTATGTTAATAATTGTTACAAAATATTGAGGAGATAGGCCTATCACAGGTGTCTTTAGTGTGAATTGCTCCTACAAAGCTCCAATTATTTAAGGTCAGCTTTTTTTTAATCAAACAAAGTAGATAAGAATATTGTATGAAATTCAAGGTAAATAATAAAGTTTTGCTTTCAACTGATAAATATGGTTTACTTTACTAGTTTAAGGCAAGATAGCATGTAACAGTAGTAAAAATGTACATAAAAGTATTAACTCAAACAGGGAAGTCTAGTCATTACTATATGTAAAATTGTAGTAGTAAATAAAAGAATAATGATGTCTTGTATACAACTTAGTATTTTTGTTAATCTTTCATTATTGTGGTTGCCTCTACCGAACCTTTTAGAAGATTTAGACCAGTACTTATTGAATTTTCAAACTATTAAAACTGCACCATAAGTTGTAAAAACCATATGACGCCTTAAGGTAGTTTTAAGTTTTAAAGTAGCATTTTCATGATAGTAACCATAATATAAAACAACTATTGAGTAGGCATTTCATTGGAAGGTTTTTGTTTTTTCAGTATTTGTTACTGCTGTTTGGACAGCAAAAAAATAGATTTTTGTATTTATAAAGACACTTTCTCAACAATCTCAAAGACTTATTGCTTATGGCTTTTTATTTGATTGGATTCATAATAAAATGAAATTTACACTTTAGGTTAAAGGATAATGAATTAAGTTACTACTATGAGGTAGGCCTAAACCGAGAGTTGTCTTTATGATTAAACTTTCAAACCCTACATTGAAGTAAAGAAATTTGTCAAATTGTATGACGATTTACCCCAAAACATATAATCCACAGTAACTAATTTATCCTTTGTAAGTTTAACACGAGACACAATGTAATGTTTAAACAAAAAAAATGAACACACCGATTAGTTTGTTTGATTTCTCCAGTAATTACTACATTCCTACAGTGGAATTTTACAAAAATGTGCAATGTGAATTATGAGTTACTAATTTTGTGGTTCTTACCATACTGGGTAGGTGAATTGAAACACTTGATCGTTAAGAGAAGAACATTTATTAAGTTTGTTCATTCATGTAGAATAATTTATAAACTATTTCACAGTATAAAATTACATAACTGCAAACAAATCAAAGAATAATAAGTGGTGAGATTTTTCTTAGAACTGTGTTTGCAAGTTAACCATGTGACTATCTTAATAATATTCTTGAACAAATAAGGGCAAGCCTGAAAAGTGTTCTTTAAAAAAATTAAACTTAGTACATATAAGTGAAATTCGTTAAGGTAAACAAACTACTGAATATACAGTAAGCACCCTTTCATTTGTTTCTGAAAATTTGGCTTGTAAAACACAAAAATACAAATATAGTTTCAGAGCACACTTTATTTAACGTGAATATCTTCAAACTAAGTAAGGCAAATCGTACACTCATGCATAAGAACATCTGTGTGGCAGAGTGTTTGCATTTAAATATAAAAAAAAAACATCTCTGCAAAAAGGTAGGACTAACAAAAAGGACCTTGAGTTTAGCTGAATTATAATTGACATACTGACAGAGTTCAAATACAGTTGGCAAAAATCTAAGTGTGTGCAATAGTATCCGTAATCCATACTTGATTCATTAAGTAATAAGTATTTGATAACTTCTTGATCAGCCAAACGTGTGTTGATTAATAAGTATTTGGGCCTATCACACTGTATTAAACACAGCAAATGCAACATCTTTCCAAATCCCCAAACAGTTATAAGCACCCTCAGTCTCTAATGATTTTGGTCCCAGGTAAAATAAGTTGTTTGACTATAGCCAACAACATGTCTCTATCCTTGCTGTCAACTGGTACCAAAAACGTTTCCTTTGTTTCTTGGTCAATTCCTGCAAAAACCCACTACCCCTCTACCAAACACCCTTTGTTGTACCCGCCTACCAATTTTTGCTTAGTCGGATTCAACAGTGTGACCAATACCACCAATTGTTATGTCTTTGCCTTAAGTTTTTGGTGAAGTGGCCAACAAAACTACTTTACATCACATATACCAATCTATAGCACTGTTTGCAATAATCCCCAGTTCTGTTGTAGAAATCTTGAATTGGCGGGGCACGCAAATCACAGTTGACAACATAAATAACAATAACAAAATTATCTAGTTTCTACTGATGCTGATACATAAATCCATAAGGGTTCCCATGGGTACGTTGCCCTATATAATGACTTCCGATAGTTAACGTTTCAAATAACCCATATTTTGTTAAACTGACTTTTACTGTTATAATTCTTATACTTTCAAACATACTAGGCTTTGAAATTAATCAACTGGATGATCCATGTAAATGGATCATTGCACTCAAAGCAAAACAACTTACTCTGCAGGAAAACCTTGTTTCAAATTATAGCAATATGAAACTAAGTTGCACCTCATACAACAGTGGGTAAATGTGCTCCTCTCGTTGGCACAATACCTCACTACTTTACCTTCAAGTTGGTTTTGCTCAAAACCAACACCCCAACACAAACACTTTACGTGCAACACCCTTAACCGCAACACCCAAAGCTCTGTTTCAGCAGAGTTGTGCCAACAGTTTGATCAGTCTCCAGAGGTTGTGTAGTCAACTGACTTTGCTATGCCCCAGTAGCAGCCCCTCGGTATCACAGAACACTGTGTCCCAGGTCAGTCCGTCTCCTTCAGGCTTGTGAGTGGAGGGCAGTAGAATGTGTCTCCAGGATCTGAAACACCACAAACCTTCACTGACAATTCCAAAATTACTACTGAAAGATTTAAGTTTTAAGTAAAAATAACTAAAAACAAAAGTTACATAGAACATCTGTTTCTAAGCTTAAAACATTATGTGGCCCTTTGGTGAGATTGATAGTGTGAAAACTGATTATTGATTCTGTGGTGATGTGATGTATTGATTGTAATTAAGTGAAATGTGTTGGTAATTGGCTGTTGTGGGTGTTAGGGCCTGGAGGACCCTAACATGTTGCAATTAAGAAAGTGCTGTACTCTACTACCATCTTGAAATGACAATTAAATTGGAAACGTTGTTGGGGAACCAGAGGGCGGAAATCTTTACCCAGACCAGAAGCAGGCCAAGCCAGCTTTGATTACTTATTTTTAACTATTTAAAAGAACTATAGCTAACCTTCCAAACTAAACTGGTAGATAGTGTAAATGATAATGAATAAAAAACCGGTAAATATCACTCCCTAACTCATTACTGAATCAATTTGGACTCATAAGGCGATTCCTGAAAGAATTGATACTTAAGCCTTCAACGTGGTGATTTTTGCATGTCTAGGAATGATTACCTCGTTAAGCGAGGTAATCATATAATTTGGAATTTACATTTCTGCGAATGGGGCGAAAGCCTGCCGGCTTCCCCTTAAATAATTAAACTAGCCTATCATCCTGGTCTTAGCTCTACTTAATAATTAATTATAGACTCATCCTGATAAAACGAAGGCATGTCGATCTCAGTAAACGGACAATCAGAAAATCCAACGAAGGGGACGGAGGCCGGCGACAGACAAGACCGAGGAAAACTCGATTTCGTAGCTCCTTGACGTTTCTCGAAAAAAAGGCAAGCGGCAGACCGAAGGAGGCGCGCCGATCGCAAGGCCAGCGATTTAGTTGTGTGGCACTATATAAAATAGTGGCGCTGAGCGTCACAACCACCCCCCCTCAAGGTTTTTTTTTTTTTTTTTTTTTTTTTTTTTTTTATTGAATATCACATTCTATTTGAATAAAATTATATATCTTAAAAACATAAATTAATTGTAGCCCAGTCCTCACTATTCTTATTAAATATTTGTATTTTTGAAAATATAAGTACTTTGAAAATAAATACTTTTGCTACAATTTATAAGCTGGTCAAGTGAAGATGAGGCTTTATGTAATAAATTAAAGCTCAAAATAACTGCAGGCACATGAAAGAGGCAACCCTCACAAAGCTAATACAAGAAAATGATCTGTGGTTTGTTTTACAACTATGCAATGTGAAAATTAACAATATTCCTATACAATTTAAAAGTACAATAGACGATACACAAAATGGGGCAGATTCAGAAACACACATGATAAAAATCATAAATCATTAACAAACGCCACACAAAATCGTAACAGGGACACAAAAATAATATAATATAAATATTTTTTATAAAGGAAACTGGAATGCTAAGTGACACATAACAAAGTAATTATATTGCAAATCAATACTCGGGATATACACAATTTACAGATAAATACAATTATTCAGAAATTCGATAGCAGAGCTGTGCACGTACAGGTACAGTGCACTCAAAACAAAATTATTTTTTTGTGTAGATTAACATGTGTAAATATTAAGTGAGAAAGTACAAAAAAGCAGTTATATTTTCTCAAAGATGAAAAAAAACAATCCTGTTGTGGTTAGGCTTTAAGGCATTCAATTTAATTGTAATTATTTTCCTACATATTAATTAATATTATATTAATATTATATTAATTAATATTATATTATATTAATGGGCCAGCACCGGTTTTATTGGGTTGTTGTTTTGTTTTAGTCAGTTACTTAATTATTCTAAGGTTCAATAGAGATAGAAGTTAAATTTGTTGATTTTGTAGACAATTCTTTCCGTATTGGGTGTCTGTCAGCCTTGCTTGGCTTTTCCCTTAGAAACCTCAACACCATGTCTCAAGCACTAAACGTTAAAACTCTTCAAGTGTTGGGCGACTCGTATGCCGTCAGATTTATTAATTTTTTTCAAGCAAATCCTGGATTGGCTGGAACCTTACAGCCAGTTTTGGTTAAGGGTATCTCTGGAGCTAGGATTTCTGACTTCAAGGTTTTTATTAAGTTAAATCGATCAGTTTTGCAGGAGCACTTGCCCTTGCTGATATTTTTAGGCACGAATGATTTTTTGGCCGACGCTGACTTGGTAGCCTTTAAGAATGCATTTCTGTCCTTTTTAAGAAGATTACGTCTGAATTATCCCACGATGGTACTAGTTTTCACAACCTTGCCATATTATCCCAGGATTAGAAATGTAACGCCAGCAATGACACGTTTGCTTCAGGTAAATAGGTTTTTGCTTACCCTACGATCAAATCTCGTCAAGGTAATAGAACTTCCACTTGAACTCAGTCAATTCCAGTTTTTTCATGCCTATTATGGGAACTCGAGGCGTCGTGATGGAATCCATTTCAATAGCGACGCTTTTCAGAAGTTGATTCCTGTAATAGAAAAGGCTCTTTCACCCCTGCCTACGTAGTTGATATTTTCCCCCCTTGCACAGTCAGCACAAATTTAGCACTCCAGAGGATTTTCATAGAATTTTTTGCATTTTTAGTAAAACCGTATACGTTTTTTGGTTTGGAAAAAAGAAAAAGTCCGATCATCGATTTTAGTATGTAGGCCTACTTCATTTTCTGCGTTGGGCGCGTTGCCTGTCTTTCCCCTTGTTTAAGAGATTGTATTTGTCAAACTTTGATTAAAGCATTCTGTAAAAAAAAAAAAAAAAAAAAAAAAAATCTTTGTGTGTAAATACTTTAGTTACATTCCTTGTACGGAACATGCCTTCGACTGTTTATGCCCCCGAGGACCTGCCAGCAGGCACCTCCTGGGTCTTCACTCTCAACGCTCAGGACGCGACAAGCCAATGTCATGTGCTAGGGATTTCGCCATCGCCAACCTTATCTGTAAATAGAACCCTGTTGTCCGAATTTTTGAAGACTCTACAATTAAACGGTGGACCTGAGCCCTTGCCCTCCAATTTCAGGCCAGATCTTACACACGCAGGTCCCACTCCCCAGGTTGAAACCGACGAAAAACAATCTCGGGGATCAACCACCACTCAGGCACCTAGCGTAACCACCACGACAGCGACAGTGTCGCAGGCCCCTTTAGCGCCTTCCACTGCTGGAAATAAGCACGACAACGCCAGCACCATTTCGTCAAATGACATCGCGATTCTGAAAACCGACGGCGGACGCCCTCTTACAGTTGAGTGGACCCAGTTGGTCCAAGATACAGCGATTGCCGTCGGCCAACAGGTGGCTTCTGCAATGGCAGGAAGTCGTTCCCCACCCCGCGCAATTCAGGGAAAGATGAAGGTCCTAGATGACCTCGTCGGGGCCTTGCCTGTGACTACAGGATCCCAACCGTCAAAGTTGACTGATTTTTTGATTTCGGTGGTAGGTATTACCAAATTAGGTTTGTTTATTGATGAAGACATTTTGTTGGCGGTTCTTCCCCGCACTGCGGAACAGCTAAGGACCTTTTGGCTAAAAGGAATCGCCGATCGCGCAAGTTTGGAACAAGTAGTTGGAGGTGTTAGGGATTTTTTCCTCCCTGCGCAGATCAGACACGCGATGGTTACTACGATGGTATATAGGGTCCAACAGCCTTCGGAGTCCCTTTCTGAGTTTGTGGATAGCATTTCTGCTGCAGCATCCCTTTTGATCCCAGGTTTCACAGAGCGCGATGTGCTGGACACTGTTCTGAATGGTCTCAATGCTCCAACCCGAGCGGCACTTGCCGCTTTTCCGGCGGCGTGTAGTTTGTCTGACCTCCTGGCCTTGGTCCCCAGGGTTCAGGTGGTCCGCACGCTGGAACAGGGGCAGGCCGTCTCGCGATCTGATACCACGCAGCGCGGTGTCGAGCATCACCACAACCAACATTCACGATTCAGGCCTACAAACAATTTAAGTCAACTAGGCAACAACAACAGATTTGCTGGACGCGACACTCGCAATTTCTCAAATTTTTCTGGTCAAGCATTTGCGCCTCGCATTCCGCAGTTTCCATTTGCCCAGAATCATCAGCACGTGCCTAGGCCGTACCATCCACCACAACAAACCTTTCCGGGTCGCAGTTTCAGTTCACCGCGTCAGGAGCAGGGAAACACCAAAGGGGGGCACCGTTAGGCGCCGCAGAGCCTCCCTTAGCACAGTACGTAAACCAGGTGCCTAGAAAAACAGTCACGACCAATAAACCCAAGGGTTCTCCAAGTATTCCGACCAACGATCTGTGCCGCGTCACTTTGAATTTCAAGGGAATGTTTAAAGATGCACTCATAGACACCGGGTCTTCATTTTGTTTACTATCCTACGATACCTACCGAAACTTAAAGCGTCACACCAAGGCAGTAGTTAGCAAACACCCGACGTCCTTCTCTGCTATCTCGGCAGCGGGCGAACCCATCAAATTTGAGTTCACAGTGAGGGTTCATTTTAAAATACAACATCTTTCTTGGACCTTCACATTTTTTGTTACCGACAAATTACCGGTTCCAATATTGATTGGCTCTGACTTTTTAACAAAAACTAAAGCAGTCATAAACATGGCTAATCACACAATCAGTTTTCCCTATGGTTCACCACAATCTTTACCGCTGATTTTCACCTCAGTCGCCGAACATCAAGATCACCCAGCAACTATGGGTGAAAATTTGACCGAATCGCAGCGTCAATCAGTCACACATTTGCTCTCTCAGTACCCCGAGACTATAACTAGTAAGCTTGGCCGCACCAACCTTTTGAAATATCACATTAGGGTAAAGGAGAATAAGGTCGTGCGCAACAAGCCTTATCAATACGCACCGCCCAAACTTCAGTTGATGCGACAGCACATTGACGACCTGTTGCAGAAGGGGGTGATCAGACCATCCTCTTCCCAATACGCCTCAGCTGCGTTTTTAGTGCCTAAGAAGGGCGGAAAAACCCGCATGGTGGTAGATTATAG